AGGGGAAAATCCGTCGCCAGATTCCGGCGAGCCTACCTTCCTCTCCGATTATCCCAGCCTCCGGCGACCGTCGTCCTAAAGCAGCAGTTCGTCCCACTTCGAGCAATAAGTCCGCAGGCCCCAGCAACTGCGTGCGAAAGACACCGGCGAACCGTCCACCATTCTTTCAGGTGAAATTCACCCCCCTCCGGCAGCCCTGTTCGCTCGACGATACCTTCATCAGAGTCCCCGTTCGTCGTCGACGTCCACGCAGCAGAGCCGTCGTTCCGTAGAGAACCAGCGGTCGCAGTCCCCGAGTTCGAAGGTTTCGAGTTCCGAGCTCCTTTTTGTTTTCCGTTCACCTACCCGAACCGTTTTCAGAGATCTCGTAGACTCCTGAAGACGGGTAAATCTGCCCGAACCTTCTTGTTATAATTATTGTGCTCGTATATCATGTTAAATAGATGTATCGTACTCGTCGAATAGATTTCTCGTTGATGGTTCGAGTTATTCATCGTTTCGTATATTACGAGTTGATCGTGAATTTATCGTGAATTGACGTGGAACTCTCGTTTTTAGTATAAATCGATTTTCGTTATTATTGTTGTGATTATTCGATTGTTTCGGAGTCTCGATGTCATTTTTATTTTTGAGTCGTCTCGTTTGGATTCGAGCCGAATATGTCATTTCTTTTTCGGCCCGAGAAACCCAAAATTTTGTAAATGTTCGAACTCTAAAAATATTCGGATTTGGAGAATTTTATGATGTCTCAAAACCGGTTGCTGTGAGATGTTGCCGTCGAAGTTAATCGCCCGAAAAACTTCTGCCCTATTCGATTTCTGTTCGCAATTTAATTCTGCAGCAGGCCCTTCTGTATTAATTTAAGTAATTATTATTTCATTGAAGTTCACAACCTGACGGATGGTTTAGTGGTGTGATGTGACCTCATCCATGCTTGAGGTCGTGGGTTCTTTAACCCTCCCCCAAGCAGCCTTTTCATTTTTCGCCCAGCAGATTAGGAGAAAGGCGCGCGGGCCGTTTGGCCCTTTTCCAGCCCGAGCGCGGCCCGACATCACTCAGCAGCCACGGCCCGCGAAGCCCGTTGCCCAGCCCGCGTCCAGCACATTGATCAGGCCCTAATATTGCGGCCCAATTCGCGTGTATAGGCCCATTTTGCGGCAGATTTTCCTGTGCGGCCCAAATCAGTTTTTAAGCCAAATTTTGTATATCGGAGCCCGTTTTTCGTACCGATTTCAATTCTAAAAAATATTTTCAAAGGGGAAAAATTATTTTAAGTCCCGAGACTCTATTTTTTTGTCCCCGAGTCTTTTCTTTTAAAAATTTAAGAGTTCCAAGTCCACGATAAAATTCGATCTTAATCATTACTTTTGATTAAGTATGAATTATATGTCAATATCGAATAGTGAGATAAATTATTAATTATAATTCTCGCTTAAATGTAGGTGTTTGAGGAGTCGAACCCTCGACCTACCGACCTATTTGTGTGCTTTTTCTACCGATTTACCAGGTGGGTTTTATCTGAAAAGTTTCTATGCATTAATTAATTGTTATTGTTATGGTATGATCAAAGTATGCGTATGAACCATGTAGCCTTCGATGTGAGCTATATTGGCCGTCGAACGGTTATCCCCGTAGCTATAGAACGTACCCGATAAGGTGTCTCCTTTATTTATGTATGGCAGTCAGGGCGTGAGCCTTGGCTGGTGATCCTCGATGTAAGTCCGATGGGATGTTTCCGGGCATTCGGGGTGGATTTACTCCTACTGTCTGGACATCGAATGTAAGGCCCGCGGGGGTTTTCGATACGTGTATCAGCAGTGGTCTATTGGTATAGGTGTGCACATGAGAGTTGACTCTGGGAAGGAGATGAGATATTAATTGATTTGTGTTCATACTGCGACCATACCTGCCTTATTTTATGAAATTTAATTTTAATTATTGCATAGTGGTGAGCACCTCGATTTCCTATTGTGCTCATCCCCACCTGCTCTTCATTGATGCAGGTTAGTAATTGCGGGCACGACAGAGGAAAGCGAGTGGTGGTCATGTTATCGTTTATTTCCGCTGCATTAAATTGCTTTTTATGAATTATGCATTCCTGACTTATGTTGAATACTGGATTATCGATAGGGAGTGTACTCCCTAGTATTTATGGATTTGATGAACCCAATTTTGAGAATTGATGTCATTTATGAACCCGGTTTGGGTATTGACTATTTACGATGATTGAACCCAGTTTGGGTGTTGACAATTTATGATTATCGAACTCGTTGGGAATTGCATATGTGATATTGTTGAAATTGTTTTTGAAAAAGAGTAGCGCCTCAAGTGTTTTGAAATAAATTTTGAAAAATTTATTCTGAATTTTGGCAAATAAAAGTGGGGCGTTACAGCAGCCGAATTCAAAGCCATTTGAGCAAAAGTTTCATACAAATCACTATCACCACAACTAAAAGAAAGAGATGAAGTAGAAACAAATTCTACTAAATGACGTCTATGATTTTCATGAGTAATGAATTAAAGAAGGCGTACTTCCACCAGTCGTGGAGAATGCAGCGCTGCTACTCGAGAGTTGCGTCTGTATCTTTTGAAATGGTACTTCTTGGAGTTGACCGGCCAGTGGTTGCAAACAACAAAGAAGTGATTCTCACCTTTTTTCGAATTGGGTACCTTCGTGTAATGTCGTTCGAACATATCGGACAAACCCAAGTAAAACATAAGCTAGACCAAATTCATTTTTAATTGCATTGTGAAACACTTTTTTATAGACTAAGTCTATTTCCTACATGGCATGTGAATTTTTTGGAAGAGACCCAAAGCATTGTGGGTGCTCTTAGGGATAAGGGTCTATTATTAATTGCATTGGGTGATATTTTTTAATAGACTAAGTCTATTTCTTGTGTGATATATGATATTTTATTAGAGCACCCACAATGCTTTAGGTTTTTTTAAAAAAAATCACAATGCCATGTAGGAAATAGGCATAGTCTATAAAAAAATAGTTTCACAATGCAGTTAAAAGTGGACCTAATCTAGCTTATGTGACAATAAAAAAAAAAGAGAACCAAGTCTTAAGTTTATTTTGGATGTGAACCTTACAATAGCAATCATTTACTATTATTATATTTTTATTGGTTGTTAGGTATTCTAGATATAGTACTTTTTTTTTGCATTGGATATATTTTGGACTTTTTATTAGGTTGGGTTTGTCCATGTCATTATAGACTTAAGTCTATTTATGGATAAATTTTGAATTTTTTAGCTTGAGTTTGTCCATAACATTATAGACTTAAGTCTATTTATTTGCCACATATAAAAAAATGGTTCTTCTTATTATACACGAACACCCGAACAAACCGGCCTACAATTGATTTTCTTTAACTTTTCAAATCACGGAGCCGTATTTATCACCAGATTCATTTACTTTTTGTTGGTTTAATACAATTTGGCGGTTTGAAATCATTGGGTTTCTGCATTAATTTGCGGTAATTGGGTGATTCAGAGTTCGACCGGCGTTCAACTGATTGAATTTGTTTGGTTTTCTGTTGATTTGATCAGAAAAAAAGGACGATGAGCGCTGCCTTTGAAGGCTACGAGAAGCAATACTGCGAGCTCTCCGCCAATTTGGCGAAGAAGTGGTCGTCGGCTAGCCTACTCGATGGAGGTTAATTCATACCCTAATTCATTTTTTTTCCCTAAAATATGATGTTGATTTAATTTTTGTGCGAATAATGGCTTACTGGTAAGTTAGGTTTAGATATGTTTGTGATTAGTTTGATTAGACATCAGGATATATTTTTGTGCTTATTGTTAGAACTGCTGTTGGATTCAGAAAATTTGCAAGGTTTGTGGCTCCTGAAAGCCGAAATTTTTAGATTTGTGATATTTTTAGATTACATAGTTTTTTTTTTTGGTTCTTTTATTTGTCTTCATTCATACTTTTCTTTTCACCTCTTTCCTTGAATCTGAATCAATCATGTATGTTTATTTAGTTTTTATATAAATTATTTTGCTTCATTTTCGCCATGGATGTTCTCTTAGTCGTCTTCTTTGTTTTCTCCATTTTTCAAATCTATTTTTCTTATTCTTTCTGCTTAACGAACTTGATGAGATAACAAATTTATTGTTTGATTACAGAGCAAAAGAAGCAAAAGATTTTCGAAACCAATACTGGAATCGATCAGGCGGAAGCTTTGGTATTGATCCACTCATTATTAAACTACTATCTGCTTTCCTTATTGCCCTTTATTTTGCTTTTGCTGAGATTGGTTGAGAACTCTAACAGATCCGGAAGATGGACATTGAGGCCCGGGGTTTGCAACCAAATATCAAAGCAGTGCTTCTTGCCAAGCTGAGAGAATACAAGTCTGACCTGAACAACTTGAAGAGTAATGTAAAGCGAATTGCATCCAGTAATCTGAATCAGGCTGCACGGGATGAGCTTCTCGAGGCAGGAATGGCTGATACATTGGCGGTATATAAAACCCTTGTAGTGTGGAGTGTCTCCATTATGTTTATGAATTTCACTTAGCCATCCAAATATATTATTTTGATTTTGTTTTCTAGAGGAAAGAATGCATCAGAATGGCATTGTGCATTTGTATTTTGTGAAAACCTCAGATGTTGAATTTCAGTCAGCTGGCCGCTACCCTCTTCAATTTATTTTCTGAGAATTAATTACAAAAGGCCAATGATGTTTAGTCTAGGTCAAACAAAAAGAATAGTAAAATCTTTCGAAATTATTAGTTCTATAGCTGTATTAGTTGTTTCTATTTTACACATGGCACCTATCTAGGGCAGTTTTTTCTAACAAGATAAAAAACCTCAAGGTGGTGGTTTTATTGCTCACAGGTATCAGCTAATCAGAGGGACAGATTGTTAATGTCTACTGAAAGATTGAACAACTCGAGCAACAGGATTCGTGAAAGCAGAAAGGTCATGCTGGAGACCGAAGAGCTCGGCGTCTCACTTCTCCACGACTTGCACCAACAGCGACAGTCTCTCATGCATGCTAATAACACGGTATCTTTTTCTATCCTTTTCTTTTTCTCTTTCATATCAACTTACCCATTTTTAGAGTTCATTTTTCTTTGGAGCTGTCATAATGTGATGTGCCTTGTTTTCATTTTATTTTACTACTTATTAACTGTTTTAATTTACTCTTATTTTTTTTTGTGTGTGTAATGGTTTTTGTTCTGTCAAATAAAGTGTAAAGGATCACTAGCTGATAGACTGTGTTGTAGATTTATGCTATGAAGGGTGTGTACCTGAGCTTATAAGGTTATAATGTCTTAACATCTACAAGGATAGCTTCTGAGCTATCTTAATGTGTTTGTTTTTCTCATAAAAAAAGGTCTGTAAACTCTAAGTATTAAGTGATAAGACGTGTATATTAAGGTCTAGGTTTTATGAAACTTTTTCCTTATATTTTCATACGCAAACTTTTTTGTTCCAGCTGCATGGCGTGGATGACAACATAAGCAGGAGTAGAAAAATAATAACAAACATATCGAGGAGGATGGACCGCAACAAGTGGATCATTGGTACTATAATCACACTTTTGATTATTGCAATTGCCGTGATCTTATATTTCAAGTTAGTCAAGTAACCGAAAGGCTTGGGATGAAGCATTTGAGTTCTTGTTGATATATCTAATTATGGCTGAGAGATTGGATTTCCTTATTGTGCATTCAAAATCTGTAAAGTTGAGCTTCTTGTGATACACAGTTAATGATGAGAATTCTAAATTGTAATATTGAATAAAAATCTTTGACGTGTGTTTAAGTGTGCAAAAATTATTTGCCCCCTTTACATATACAACAATTTGGGCTCGAAATTTGTAATAAATTTGATACTTTATTCTGTGTAATAATATATGATACACTTTTC